GCAGGTCTAACAAATAATGTTTAAACGTCATGCAAGGAAGCTTAAATATTAATATACGATACATAAACTTTCCCATTATATGTAACTTCCCGACATATTGTGTCAGAGTTATTCAGTAACTAAAATACGCCACCTATCTTGACACAGTGTGAACGTGAAGAGGACCATTCTATTAGTTAAAGGTATCCAATAATAAATAAATGATAAAAGTGTATCTTTTATAAGGGCCATGGTTTATGTAGATTCCAGTGTCTGGCTATTCCAGCTTACTACCCGGCAGTTTTTATGATATCCATTTTAGCACCTGACACAATGTAAATTGCCATTTCATCATATATGATAACTTAATCTATGATAATTTTTTATCATGGACAATTTTCTGAACACAAATAAATTGCTATAATATTGTTTACCTTGATATATTTTAATCCACAGAGCAAAATATCTCACAATAATGCTTCATCGGAAGTCAATTCACATAACAACATTTCAAATAAATCAAAAGTTGGAGAGTATTATGAGGAAACCGTGAAAAGGAAACGACAGGCACAACACTCAATTGTGACCAAAAATTACTGTTTGGCAAAAAAAAATTACCAAGAGTTTAAAAGGCAAACAAGTATGTACGATGGACCATGATAAGTTTAAAAGTACTTAGTCAAAACTTATTATTTTTTTTTTTCAGAACAAATAACAAAAATAAATAGAAAACAAGCCACTGGACCATTATGGTACCAGGAATTGTCTGACCAACAGGTTAGATAACTAATAACTATATTAATCATAACTACAGACACTCAAAATTTTCAATATTATTAGGTAAATGGTTTTACTAACAACCAACTAAAATTCCCTACATTTATCATAAAAGCAAAACACAAATAAGTTCTAAAACTAAAAAATACACGTTTGGTACTATAACATCCACTTTTTTACTGGTCACCACTTACCAGTATGTTCAAACGCATTTCCTACAAAAGTTTACATTAATAAGGTATTGAAGATTCAACCTAGATGTGTAATTTTCATTATAAAAATCAGAATGATGTTATGTAGATACTAGTGGTATGCTCAGCTTTTTGAGAAAGCTCTAAAATTATGACTTTTCTCGCACAACGTTATAATCTAGTAGTTAAGTTCGTCTCACAACATCGCTCGATAATTTTAAAACATGTTCAAATATTTAGTTTATTTTTAGAATTTCCCAACTTAAACTTTAGTGATTGAAAATATTTTGAAAATGAAATTTAAGTRAGCACTGAGCGTTGATGTTAAAAGTTAAAAATTGAAAGGAGGTGGTGAAGAAATGTAATCGTGTCGCATGAAACTTATTGTTTTCAACTGGGCCTGATTTAATGCCAAATTATTTATTATCTAACCATTCAAAATATGCCACCTAAAATCTTGGAAATTAATTTTAAAATGTTATATTATTGTATAACCATACTTTGGGTATATAAAACAATCACTCAAAGTTCCTCAAAGCACAAAAACAACTTATTGTAGACCAATTATATTTTTTAAAGTTTGGAAAAACCATGTGGATTATTTGCTGGAGAAACAAAACAATTAAAAATACCTAAATTAAAATTAAAATTAAAAAAATATAAACAATATAATGCATGCTAATTTATTTCAATGAGTCTGKTACGACATAATCTAMGAATAATTTCTCAAATAAGTTTTATGGGAGAGTCCAAAAAAGTTTTAGATGTTTTCAAGTAGATTGCAATTAGGTACAAATAGCAATCTACTAACAACTCAAAGACACTTAGCCGCCAACTCCCATTGTCAACGTAACTCATATTCGGACGCAGTCAAAGGTAATCAAAAATCCAACAAAATTCTAAATGAAACCCAAATCAGTATCTCCAACATTTTGCGACTTCTTTATAATTTGCTCATTATCCTGGCCTCCAATAGAGACGCTTAAAAAGGACTTATTCAACACTACGCATTATTCATTGGACCACCAATAGCATTAAAATCAAAACTGATGAATTGAAAATCCTCTTCAAAAAATAAAAAATCGACATCGCACTAATTGGTGAAACCAAACTCATATCCACAATTCAACTCAAAATCCTAAATTATTTGGTTTATTGATACAAAAACACTCATCATGGCTCCTCTGCTAACGAAGGCACCGCCGACATTATTAATCGCCGCATTGTACATCGCCAAGTACCGTAAACTACTTTAATCAATTCTAAATCTGTTGAATTCGCTATAGGTTCAAACCTAGTCCGTATATCAGCTGTCTAAAAATGTGTTAAATTCCCACTCATGGACAACGATCTCGATATTTTAAAAAGCTATGAATGGTTCATAATTGCTAGTGACTTAAACGCAAAACACCCTCTGTGGTTTAGTAACTGCGTTATTTCTACCGGCCGAGTCCTCTACCATCATACACAGACCTCTGACAAAACTATCACAGCCCYCAGCTCTCCAACTCACTTTCCAGCCATTCCGGACCGTTAATCAGAWGTCGTGCTGCACAAACTCCCACAGCATTTCGTTGAGAGGTCTAAAGGAATGGGTGGCAGTACTGTGATGAATAGTTTTCACTACTTTCTAGTGAACAAAACAAAAGGTCTACAACCTAAACATGCTATCATTTGACCACAATCCTGTCCTATTTACAATTTCAGAATCACACTTGACTTCTTCTCCGCAAATTAAAAAGTTATTTCATATTGTAGATTGAAAGGATAAGTTTTAAATTAAGATTATATTAAAATTAGTCAGTTTTTTTTTTTTAACAATTGTTGATAGATATGATTTTTCTACCATTTGCGATACTTCAGTTATAATTTCTCTTCTATACATCAGATTTCTATACTGGACAAACTTTTTCATTATATGAAAGAAGACTTGGACTTTGCTACAACGAAGAATACGAGACGGGCAATCAAGGCATTAGGCATTCGTACGTTCATCCCGCACAGTGTTGTACAAGATGTTTTGATAAAAACTGAACTTTATGTGGTAGATTTTTTGCAAACAATTAAAGATTATGTATTTCAAAAGAACAATGAGAAGTTCTGCGACCAAACAAGTTAGTCTTTTTTCGAACGCCTTAACCGAAAATGATCATCTAAATTACATCTTAAAACTTTTGGGAGCGCTTAAGTTATTATGTTAAACACACTCGTTGATTTACTCGCATAACTAATATTATAATGTGAGTATCTTTTTTACATTTTTATTTGGTGTTTTAATTATAAAAAACATACCTAACACTAGGTAGCTTAAAGCTATTCGTTTTCATTAACATTTCCAAACAGTTTTAAAATTTTGAAATTTTTATACATAGTTTTTACCTAATTATTTTATTTCTAATGTTGTAGAATATTTTTTATTTGAAAATGTATAAACTAAATTGATTTTTAATTAAGCACAAAACTCTTAGGTACTGACTTTGTTAAAAATKAAATTATCAAATGATTATTCATTAACAGTAATTAATTTATTCCTTAATTAAAGTCAATTTTCATATGAACACTTTTAAGCATACTGCTCTATTTTTTATTATTATTTCAGCCAACATAAAAAAAGATTATTTACCAGAAGAACGGATCTTAATGAGTAGTATACTTCACATAGCATATCCATGTTTTATCAAAAGACTAAATTATTTTCTCAAGGATCCCGTACCTGAAAAAAATCGTAAGTTCTTTATATTGTTGTAAAACTGAAATGAACTAATATTTACGATCCAAAAAAAAAAAAAAACTACCAACGACTTTTGATAATGACTTATTTAATTTATCTATACGTATGTATTTTTCTATATGATAGATACTYATCTATAACATATTGCTATATATTACTCCTGTTTTATAAATATTAGATTCTTACTCATATTATTATATTCAAACATATCATATGCATTCTTACTAGTACAACTACTAACCAAAAGTTAAGCTCAGCATATGATATAATCTATATAGGTACCTATTATTTAAGAGTCTGCTGTTAAAAATAATACTGGTTGAATGTCTCAATTCCCACAACAATTTTGCAGTAATGTTACCTCATTTCAACACAAAGTGCGTGTACAAAACTCAAAAGCTCAGCGGCTCAGCCACCTATGTTTTAAATTATTTAATATGAATGCGTATTCATTGATTTTAAAAACTATAGACTGCAAATTGGTTGATTTTTACAATATTTCTACCATAGATGATGAGACCATAAGAACATGGTTAATAAGATCGTGTATCGTCTTAATTGATAGTCATCCATGATAAAAATGTATAATAATTTTCAATCATTGCGATTTCTATTGTTTAACTTCACTATTAAGTACTTGTACATGTTTACTATAATATACTTGATAAAAACCKATAATGTAAATCAAAATCTTGAATACCTATTGATTTGTGAATACCTATTGAATTTGTCAACTATTAAATACCTAATAATAATATAATTTAAATCATTTTACAATTTGTATTGAGTACACTAAATATAATTTCCAGTTGGGTATAGTATCTTAAATAAATCAAATTATCTATTTTGAATACAAATCATTTATATTGATCGGGTTCCTGATTTCAGTTAAATACATGAAACTTCCGAAATCAACTAGATCAACGAAAAAATATACATCTCCCTATTTAGAACCATTACCTCAGCCTCATCACCCATGGACTAAAGTGAAAGAGGTTATGTTTCACAATATGAAGGTAAAAAAACAAAGGATGCATAATAAAATGAAAGCAATACAACTGCAACAACAACATGAGAAAGAGGTAAATAATAATTATCACTAATTAGGTATCACTCACTCACTCGGGTTGGTTAAAAATATTTAAGGCATGGTCAATAATTACACATACCAAATTTTCAATCATATATCTGGTTTCATAATTTGTGCCACCCTCCATTTACTATAATTAAATCAAATAATAAGTGACAAACATAAATATAAAAATATGTAACATTACTCGATTTAGAATTCTATATTAGTTAGAAATGTAAAATACTAAAAAGGTGGAAAATGTAAATCGCTCTATTGTGCAGTAGTCGTCAAGTGTTATACATTGATAAGGTTAGGTTATACTATTATACTATTATACTATTATACTATTATACTATTATATATTAAGGTTATACATTGATAAAATGTTATAAATTGTTATTCATTGATAAATCATAACATACAAAACACATGGATATAAAAATTATGTATAAACAGTTCTATGAATTTATAACTAAAAAATAATTTCTAAATTTTTGGGATTTTGATGAATATTGTTAATATTTGAATTTTAAATACATTTAAAAAATAAACGTGAAAATGTATCTTTAATATTTTTGTACTAATACTGAAACAACTAATGAAGAAATCATGCATTTACATTGCATTTACCAAGTGAAAAAATTTTTGTTGACAATAATTTTAAAAAAAATTACAAGATGAGCAAAGATTCTCGTGCTTTTAAAATTTAAATAGCTAAATAGAGGCAAAATTAGGTTGAAAATTTTACCATGTATGGAAAATGCTAAAATAAATATCTTGGCAAATGTTCAAACATTCAGCRGTTATTAGTTTTTGAGTTTTGCCTAAAAATTAAGGTAAATTTTGACAAATCATAAGTTTTTGTTTTTCATTGCTTTTAAAAACTACTAGGGATTTTAATTTTTGTCTTCCGTATGCACAAATCAGATTTACTTTTCTATCAGAAACTTTAAACTTGAAAATCGTAGCATTTTAGCTACCTCAAATGTTGATTAGAGACAGAACAAATCTAAAATAGTTCATTGACATTTATAAACTATCGTGGACATTGTGGTTGTGAGTTTTAAAAAAGCTCAGTTCTTGTTTAGGAAAAAATAATTTCAATAGAAATCAAAAATTTAATGATATTATTAGCAATGTGATATATAAATAATAAGTATATATASATTATATAATAATATATATAATATATATAGTATATAAATATATTGGTTTGAAAAAAATTGAATCCTAGACTGTCGCTGGACTAAATGGTTCTGTGAAAAGTTTATAAAAATTATATTTTTGTTTGTTGTCAAATCATGTGTATATTTGTCTAGAAAAAAAACGAATACAAAATTAATATGAATATAACTAACTTTAGCTCGAAGACGAAAAAAAGATAACAATGAAATTGAATATCAGTTATCCTAACAATTCAGTGAATAAAATGTTTTGCAAACCACCAGTGTTGAAACATCTAAAGAATGAAAACAAATATAAACTGATGTCAGAAATTGAGCGTCCTGCAGTAGAAGCCTATAATTATGGTATGATATTATACTAAAGAGTATTTTTTATTAATTAATAACTACATAAATATGGTTAGAATAAAGCTCTAAATTAATTATAATTTAAATAGATATTATTATAAAAACACATGGTATCGTGTACCAATTTATAAAACCATTATCAACAGACCATTACCCGTACTATCAGAGAATATTTTTTTTTAGGAAATAGTAATTTTACTATAAGATTAACCCTGTGAACTAATTATATATTTTGATCGTTTGCTATCAAAAAACTGTCCTTCTCAAAAATTGTAATTATATTATTACTCATTTATGCTCAAATGCTCAAGTTTGAATTAAAGCAATTTTTTATCTTTATTGAAGKATTACTTCTTTATAGAAGGTACGAAAAAAAGTAATTACCCGTTACGTATTGATGTCACAACACACACAATATCGTAATAGTCAAAAGATACCAGCTTTTTTAAATGTTTGCATTATTATTGTAATTAATGCATTTACTTACAATTTCACAAAATGGCAAAACGCATAAATTTGAAATTTGGAATTGTCGTTCCTCTAATTTTGTAGATATACTAAAAATTGCCGATTTTGTTTCGTGGGATACGCACTATTTGGTACGCAAGAAAAGTTGAAAGTTTATTGGAGCATTTGAGAGGTCAAAATCTTTGGTATTTTTTAAAAGCATTGAACAATAAAACAATGAGGGAAAGTGGAATTTTTACGCAAAACAATATTTTGACAAAATTGATTTTATGGTAACTTAAAAATGTATAGTCSTGGATCCTCGAACATTTCACCATATATTGATAATTTGTAATTTTATTAATAGCCTTAAGATATTTTTCGGTGACTTCRATTAAAATATACAGAATTCTAAAAATGAAAGATATTATCTATTACTAGCGTAGGTACTGAAGAATCGCTATTGTGAAGCACGATACCAGTGTATTAGATGGGGGAACTAGTGCMGGTATAATTAAATCTTGCTTAAAATATTCCTTTCTGGGTGGAAAATATTGTACTATATAAGGAGTCACTTAGGTGAAGGAAGCACAGATTTCCTAAAAAAGCTCTTTTTGTGAAAAATTAAGTAACTAAATCAGACAAATAACTGGTCATTGATAAAGCCCTTGGTGACATAATGATCAACATTAAATAATTGATCTCTATAGTTTTTTCGGATGTAGCTAACATCGATAAAAAAAATTATCAATGTATGTGAGGGGCAATCTTAGCTGCCATGAATATAAACGTTAGCGCCATCAATGACAAAATAATGGCTWAGCTAACAGGTAATAACATAATGAATTCCAATACCACGTTTTGATCGTCTTAAATTCGTTTTACTGATGTAATCCCGTACATATCGAGATCCACATCTAATCTAGGAAAAAAAAATTCACCATGTAATTTAAATCCATGCAGTATGACGAGTGACGACAGTCAATAACATACGTACCTATAACACCATTGCAACACTTTAATTACACCCAAGACCTAAGATTTARCTGGATATCATGTTAACATGTCATTTAATATTTATACAACTTGTTTTATAGTATTTCATTGATGACCATTCGTGTAACTTTGATGAATAATTGCATACTAATAATGTAAAAAATTGGGTACTCCACCCTACCCACCCCATAGTTTAATTCATTATTCATATAATTACATTAATACTTGTCGTGATTGCTATGAAAATAATTAACGATAAGCGGTGATGTAGAAGCCGACGTAATGCAAAACAGTGGAGTCATACAGTCAGTGATAAGTGAGGAGGARGAGGGGTGGCAAGAGCAGGAAGATGCGTGGCCAACGACCAGTCGAGAGTTCATTGAAAGTGAGACGTGGCGTTCCCAACGATGGTCGACAGCTTCTGTCGTCACCACGGTGRCGGAAAATATGACCACAGACCACCGTACCAGTCAAACACAGTCGCTGCCACATACGCATGACAGCTGGATGAAAAAGCCATTTGGCTGGCTCAGCGCTGATCACAAGGCATCGAACGTTTCGATCGATTCGATCGACGAGACGACTGACAGCACTGTGGTCGTAACAAATCCGCACAAGACAATTGTAGTGATCGATTTCGACAATTCGGTGGACCAGTTTGAATGTAACGTGACCAATAGGTATGCGATACTCTATTTCTAAAATCTTTGCAATTTACTGTATGAGTAAATCTTAGTACTAGCAGAATAAGTTAAAGTTAATTAATATTATAAAATATAATATTTCCGTAGAAATAGAGACTAACAAATTTCTGCATAGAATCTTTTTATCATGCAATTATATATAATATATTTCAAATAATTAAACACATCATGTATTACAGTGGCTTTTTCACTGAAAAAACCTATACTAAAAAGTCGAAATGACTTCTTCAATTTTTAGTTTTGAATTAATTTAACAATATATAGATAGATAGATAGATCTAATAATTAAACTCTCAACAAAATTCAYAACAGACAACAGTCTTATTTCCAATATTAAGTTTCTTATCCACAAACTTCATTAAAATTATCTTTATCTAATCCCTTTGCTAATCGTATTTTAATATACATAACCGTAATCTCGTTTGTTTTCTATACTTTAGTAATATGTTAAACCGTATTGTTGTAAAATTATGTACCTACTTATTAAACTTATAATACTATGCTAATATATGCTGACACAATTTAAATCTAATAACAAAAAACTTAATACTTAATCCAAACCAAGTTTGGTTATTTATCTTATAAAGTGGTTTATTTCTAACTACTATTATCTTATGAATCCCACTGCTTGTAATTATATGCACAGAGGCATATATAATATTTATTTTACATATATTACTAAATTACTATTTTCATTAAATTGCTATCATTAATAAACGAATACTTTTGAGTATCTACCTCACTACAATGTTCTAATGTCCCAATATTTTATTACAATACTCACTAGATATGGTTATATATCTTATATAGATATTATTATTTATGACGTTTCATAAAAAACACAATACCTAACTTAGTGATAAATGTATTCATTAATACTATGCAGGTATTTAATTATTAAAATTCATAGATTATTGCTTATATAATATAATAATACATATGATAATACAATGTAAATGGAATTAGATTGTAAAAAACACTTTGTTYATTTCTAAAATTTAAAGTTAAGCACAATTAATTCACTGGTCATAAGATATAAGGATATACAAATCCTTAAATACAAATCTTGTATTAGATATAGTAGCCCATACCTTGTCAAATACCTATACATTAACACAATAATTTAGGATGTCAGGGTTTACGTATACTTACAGTATATTTTATAATTACTTATATGTGTGCGTGTAAAGACACGTCACAATAGTTTGTATGAATATTGGAGAGATGTAAATATTAAATRGTATGGATTTTATAAATTACTAAAACAATTATTTTATTATATTTAAAATTATGTATTGAATAATAAATTTAGCACTTTTAGAATAACACTTTTTGGTTTCAGGGACAGCGAAAAAAATCTGGTTAACAAACAGGAATATGACGGAGAGAGCGACGATGATGTTTTGCTATCCGAAACATTGCGTGACCTCAACGTGACTAAAATTGGCGCGAACGAGGAAAAAATTTGTCAGATGTTTCAAAATTAYGGCGTTAGTGCGATGACCGGCAATCAGCCGTCAGTATTTTCGTCGGGCACCGGTATTACGGTGGCCAAAATCGACCGAACTAAACACGTAGAAACGCCGTCGATGAAAGGCATGCAGGGCACGCCGCTGCCGTCGGCAGAGAGGGTGGTTGTCAAAAGTACCGACGACGGACAGTCGTCGGTGAAATCACTGGACAAGAAGACATCCATATTGGACTTGCCACCCAATGATCATGGCAGCCACGAAGTAGGTATACAAGTGGATGACAGCATCAGCGTCAGCAACAAGAATATATCTACCAGAGACTGTAATCATGACGTATGCGCTGATGAACGACAGCCGCCGCTCATCAACGAGGTCAGAGRCATATTCATGATTTTTGCAAGCTAGTTCCTTATTTATTTATTCTGCTTWCTCCACTCAGAATAACAACTTATTATGAATATCAATTTTTATAGAAGAAATAATTTCTATACATAGTTATAAATAAAATAATGGCAATTAAATGGGAAAACCAAATTTAAATTTAGGTATCACTGAAAAAAAATATGAATAACAATATTTTGCCAATTGAAACTTCCAATTAACTATTATCATTAAGATGTACTGAAAATGCACAATGATAACTTGGATAAAATATTAATAAAGATTTAAATAAAAATGTTCAATGTTGCCAAAATCAATTAATGATTAATAATTTATTTTTATCAAAATAAGTTCGGAAGTGCTGCCCAGTTTTTATCATACCAACCATCCTCCCTCAAAAATATCTTAACGGGCTAAATTTATCGCGTGGTTGATAACAGTAACTGTTACTTGTCTTGTCTAAAAACAGAAAAACAATTGTGTGTTTTGATAATTCCGGCTTCAAGATTCTTTTTTGATATTTGAGTAAAAATTATRTAAACGAAGTCGGGACACAACAGATCCGTAAAATTTCTTGATGATTTCTAAAGACRACAATTCACGYGTTTTATCTTGGCGTGTGCTGAGTCAGAACCAAACGTCATTTTAAAACTCTTGAAACACATTTTAATTATAGCTGCAATACTGATTATTCTCTTGAAGATCTAATACTATGTAAATATTTAGGTTTTTATAATATGTTGTTAAGTTATATTTATTATGTTTATATTTAATATGATATGGCAATAATATTTAAAATGTTTTTTCTAACGTTCAAAATACTAAATTTTTATCTATTTGAAGGACGGCTCGGTAAACATGACTCGACTGCACGCTGTAATTCACAAACTACCGAACTGGAAACAACTAAGAGTAAGTTAGTTTCACCAATTGTATTCAATATTTATTTWWAAAAAAATCTTATGTTAAAMAAACCATTATCATAATATGAATAGCAACTACTTTTTTATTTATCAATATTTTATATCATTRTTTTGAATTRCCTATAAATTTTGACTTTTATTGATTAATTATAGRAAAATTAATTTATGACTCTACAATTGTTCACTAATTAATGTGATATGATCATCATCGTATATGAACATCGATCTATACATATTATCATATATACATATAACATATATAATATATATATATATAATATATATAATCTGAGGTCGCACGAGGTGCGTACGTTAGTATATATTATACAAATATAAGATAGCTGTACCTGTGGATTCCTTTATCCGTAAAAAACTCTACCACTTATACCTATGGTCTATGATTMAAAATGTGTCATTTAATATCCAGGATGTATTGATGTACAAAACTTATAAAAAAATTAAYTTAAATTAACTWTAACTTTTAATACATAGTATGACAATGTTCTAAATCACATTTTTTTATGAGTAGTTTTTTAACACAAATGGTTTTAGAGTACAAATCTAACATTCATGCTTACATAATCGTTTTTGTTGATTTTTTTTTTAAATAAAAGATTCTATAWCACCAAAAATTAAAATATAAATACAATTTAATAAAGTGTAAAACGCTTAATTAACAGAACCATACTATTGACAATATATTAGTACCTATGAAAAGGTTCTAATTTAATTAATCACACTTAAGCTACAATATAATTGTACGATAATTTTATGGCACACAACAATTGATAAAATGTAAGTTTTATTTATATCATGGATACAG